TTTTTTTTTTTTTCTTACTTATCTCCTCCTTTTGAAATTAGTTATGACTATCCACTAAGAAGCATATAAATGACTTAACATCATATCCCAATCACCAGATGCATAATTTTCAAGTAAGCACTCACAAAAACTTATTGTCAGTTAAGACAATTATGCTTATTCAAGCTGTGAAAATAAGATTTGTAAAACTCAGACCAAACGATAAAATAATAGACCAAACCTAGAAGTTTTCTACATGAACCCCCAAGAAATTAACTATTAGAAAATAGTCAAATAAATTCATAAAGTGTATTGGGGTGAATACTTAAAATTCCAAAAAGTGATATTGGTATAATTTTTAATATACATGATTTAATTTTATATTAAAAATCATTAATTAATGCCTTGAATCATTCTCCCTTATCATGCTCTTTGCGATTACATCTAACACATCATTCGAACATTTTTCAGTCATTAATTCTCTTCCTAAGGCTATTACTCATGGTGAAATCGCATCCACTACTAACAATGGAGATACATCAAATAAATTGATAGATGATATATGTAGATTTAAATATTTTCTTATTAATATTTTAACTTTATCAGACTACCTAAATACATCTCATGAATTATGATAATTTTTATTATAATATATATAAATCCAAATAATTTTAGTTATCATTGACTTATTCATCAAGTACACTTGCTTGCTTAAAGCCTTTGTTATAATATGTAATGAAATGTTTACGAATGTTAATTATACCCACATACACTTGATGAATATCAGCACGATAAGAAAGCACCCAATTCAACATAGTTGAATTCCTCCAAATCAAGCAGAATTACAGTATGTTCTCCCGCATTCCTTTAAACCGGGCTTTAGGATTTTTTAAAGTTCTTTATTCCTATATAGCCTACAGTTATATATGGCTTCCTTTTCGAGTTATCGGGTCCTGTTGCTCTTTCATCAACCATATATTTTGGCAACAACTGGGCATCCTTCAACTTCTTCTATAATAGCTTCAAATCAATCGGCCTTTTCTTGTAGGTTTTGTGACCCTTTTGTGATCTCCTTTATTCGAACTTTTTTTAGATTGGTTGCTTTCTAATAATGAAATTTTAAATTATTTACCTTATGATTATTGAAACATAGCCATCTCCAACTATAGTACAAAATCGGTGATAGTAATGCTAAAGTAATCAAAATTTGGGATGGTTTGTTCTATTACTTTCGGACTCCCCAACTATTCATCTATAGCCAATTTAATCCCAATGTATTACTTTTATCCAATATGGTTTTGACCATATAAAATTGATCCCAAGCAGACCCTTAGGGCCTAAATTGGTATAAATGTTGAATCACAATTTCTATATAAGGGATCATTTTGGATATTTTTATATAGTCAAAGAAGTATAAATGAGACTTAAGATATGCTTGAGAATATTAACTCATTATACAAGTAAGAAGCTGATTTTTTTTCTAGTTAATTATTTCTTTCTACTTTTTAATTGATTGAAATTTTATTCTTAAATTAGCCGTGTGAATGATTTTATTCAAAGTCAGTTTGATTTGGTTTTCATTAAGTTTATGAATTTCAATTCATTGCTGAAATTTCTTAGTTCTAAATTTAGATATATTTTATTAAAGAAAATTTTGGATTTTCATCTGAATAATTTTCTTATATTTTGGTTTTTCGTCCCAAATAATAGTAAAAAAATCAATTAAGAGTTTGTTTCTTGCATTTTTTTTTATTATATTGTTCACACATTGTAGTAAGTATTGATTAAAAAATATCCTCGGTCAAACACCCTTATTGATGATCTCCAAAACTTTGATTTCTTCGTATTTTCTCAAACTTTGATTATGAATTACTTGATTCTTTCTTCGATTCAATCTCCAACTAAAAGAGGCATTGGATCCTTTGAAATCATGCTTGAGACAAAAGCACGTGCAAAAAGCCTCAAGATCCATGCTTAGGTGTGGAATCTCATAAGGAAATATATGGATTTGTAACAAAAGGATTCTTAAGCTAGTATTTCTTGACAGAAGAGTGAACCTTGGGAAGAAAAGGGAAAGAAGGAGAGTTATTGGAATCGAGATTTCTTCGTATTTTCTCAAGATGCATCCTTAAACTAACCTAAGAAATACTAGATTAATTTAGGAAATATAAGAACAATTTTAATATATATCTTGTCCTGCATCAAATTCTACATCCACCGCTAACAACAAGCTTATCTTGTTTTTGTAAAATGAAATTTTGTAGGTTTGCAAATAGGCTTATGTTGCTTTCCTAGAGAACCAATTTAAGCGCTTACTTTGTGCATAAGAATTTATTAATATATCAAATATTTAATATCATATCTGGCACTACAAATTGTGCTATCTTTCTTGGGTAAATCTGAAATTTTTTAAAGGACAACAAAACATATAAAAAAAATATGCAAAATAAATCTTGCATAAGATATGTATGTTATGTTTCAAAACAAGTACATATAAAATGCAGTGATCTAAAAAAACATAAAGAAAAACCTGTACTGCTCTGGATCCTCCCGCAGGGCTTCGATATAGGCTCTAAAAATAGCATCTCGATCCTCACTGTTTGGATACCCTTCCATCAGTTGTTCAAAGACTGTGACAAAGCCAAGTGCAAAGACAGCATCATATTGATAGGTTCTCTTGTACCTCAACAAATGTTGTTGGACAAGAAGCTCTTGCAATACATTATTGTATATGCTGGGAATAGGTCGCTTGTATGACTTCAGGAATTTGTATTTTGTTTCAGACACAGTAGGAGGAAGAACTGTAGAAAAAAAAAAACAACAACAACAACAGATACTGATACTAGGATAATAAAAAAAATAAAACAAATACAGGCAGAAAAAAAATCCAGTGATGCAGAAAGTTGAGAACCGCAGATACTGATACTAGGATACAACAACAACAACAACAACAGATACTGATACTAGGATAATAAAAAAAATAAAACAAATACAGGCAGAAAAAAAATCCAGTGATGCATAATGTGGGAAATCAAAGAAATAATTTGTATTTCACTTCCACTTTTGAATTCATCATACAAGGTATTATATAGGAGATTAAAAGGAGAAAAACTAGGAAACTATTTAACTATTTCCCTTAATTTAAGGGATTGCAAATTTATTCTAATTTCCTTAATTTAAGGGATTTACCAATTAATTCTAATTTCCTTAAATAAGGAAATTAGAATTAATTCTCACAACTTTATTTCCATCTCAGTCACATCTCGACACTCCCCCTCAAGCTGAGGAATAGATGTTTTTCATTCCCAGCTTGGATACAAGATCATGGAAACTTGAACTGTTCAGCCCCTTTGTTAGAACATTTGTTAATTGTCTTTTTGATGGAACATAGGACATACACACTAACCCTTCCTCCAGTTTTTCTTTGATGAAATGTCTATCAATCTCAATATGCTTTGTCTTATCATGTTGTATAGGATTATGAGCTATATTAATGGCAGACTTGTTGTCACAGTAGAGCTTCATAGGACTCTCTCATGGGATTCTTAAATCATCCAAGATGATTCTCAGCCACAGTAATTCACATAATCCTTGAGCAATAGCCCTGAACTCTGATTCTGCAGATGACCTTGCCACTACATTCTGCTTCTTGTTTCTCCATGTCACTAGGTTACCTTCAAGAAAAATACAATATCCTGTAGTTGATCTTCTATCCACTATGGAGCCAGCATAGTCAGCGTCGGTGTAGGCTTCCAGAGTAAGAGTGTCATTCCTTTTGAACAAGATTCTTTTCCCCGGATTGTCTTTCAAGTAATGCATGCAATCGGTGATCATCGTCGGCCAGTAGTAACCCATTCTTTTGATTTTCATTTTCATTTTCGGGCCTGACTGATGAGCACCACACAGTCCTGCATGCACCTCCTTGACGATCTTTTGTGCTTCTGGCCTGTTCAGACACCTCAGCCACATTTGATCGAAGGATCTTCTATATAAAACATCGTCTACTAAAGCGTACGACAACGCTCTCTTCTTGATCTGATGTGCCACTGACTTATCCTCTAGTAATTTTCCGGACTTCAAATATTCTAGGAACGGTTCCCGCCAATCATCAGCATCTTCTGCAGCTGCAGCCACCATCTCTTCTATTTCAAGTCTTTGTAGAACATCCATGCTGATTTTAGAAAGTATTTTTCGTCCCTCTACAGTGATATCAATTGAATTTTCTGGTGGGCATGCTAACTCTTTCGCAAGCTTTGCTAATGCATCTGCATGGGCATTATCTCTTCTCGGTATCTGGTATATTGTTACACTTATATATGGTATATCTGGTATATATCGGTATAAAATTATCAAAAAAGGGATCCAGCCTCTACAACATGGGAAGAGGAGGATTCCATGATTATGTCCTGGCTATGGGATTCTATGGATCCAACGATCAGTGACACTTGCATGTTCTTGAAAACCGCAAAGGAAATCTAGGACTATATCAGCCGCACATACTCGAAAGCCCGCGATGTTGCCCAAAGCCCGCGATGCTGCCCTTGTGTATGAAATCAAGTATGAAATCAAAGAAAAAACCGGAGCAACCAAACAAGGAGACAAATATGTCACAGAGTATGCAACTCCATTGCAGAATTTGTGCCAGGAACTGGATCACTATCGTGTAATTGAGATGAAATGCCCTGATGATGCTGCCACCTTGAAGTTCATTGAGAAGGATCGAATATATGATTTTTTGGCAAGATTGAATCCTGAATTTGATCATGTTAGAATCCAAATCCTCAGCAAGGAGGATACACCGTCTCTAAAAGAGACAATCTCATTAATTCGAGCAGAAGAAAGTCGGAGTGTCATGCTAGAACCACATACTATGGATGGGTCAGCCTTAGCAGCAAACACAAATCAGGAGAAGTCAAAGAACGATAACCAAGGGAAGGAGAACAAAGACAATCTTTGGTGTACTTTTTGCAAGAAACCGAGGCATACAAGGGAGAAGTGTTGGAAGTTAAATGGTAAACCTCCAAGCTCAGAATGGGGCAACCGTGGAGAGAAACAAAGGCCTCGAGCGCATATGGCAGAGCAACCCAATATGGAGGAAAAATCAATAATAGGGGGATTCAGCAGTGAAGAAATTGAGAAATTGAGAAACTTATTGGGATCTCTTGCAAAGTCTTCTGGAGCATGTTCGAGAGCTCTTTCAGGTAAAACTGTTTGCATGAATGTCTTAGACAAATTATATACCAACTCTTGGATCATTAACTCCAGTCCTACTGACCATATGACCCCCACATCTCAACTCTTCCATTCCTATACCCCCTGCCCAAGTAATAGAAAAATTATCATGGCCAATGGCTCTTTAGCTACCATTGCAGGGATTGGTGATATACATATCACACCTAGCCTTATCCTGAAAAACGTTCTCCATGTACCCAAACTGTCAACAAGTATTGTGTCCATTCAAAAATTGACTCATGATCTCAAATGTTATGTTGTTTTTTCCCTTCTTATTTTGTTTTTCAGGAACAGGACTCGGGGAAGAGGATTGGACTTGCTAAGGAAATGAGCGGTCTTTACCACATTGAACCATCCCAGAAAATCAGGAGCAATTTGTCATCATCTTTCCTTAATTCCTCAAACAAAGATGTCATTTGGTTGTATCACTTACGCCTTGGTCATCCCTCTTTTAGGGTTCTAAATATAATGTTTCCTCATTTATTCCAAGGATTAAATATTTCTGAGTTTCATTGTGGCATTTGTGAATTGACAAAACATACCCGTGTATCTTTTCCTATTAGCAATAAAAGTTCTCATCCTTTTCATCTAATTCATGGTGACATATGGGGTCTTTCCACTATACCTAATATTTCTAAGACTCGTTGATTTGTATCCTTAATTGATGATTGCACCCG